CCCACCACCCACCACCCACCACCCACCACCCACCACCCACCACCCACCACCCACCACCCACACCACCCCAGCCGCCACCCCTCTACCGGCCGCCCTACTACGACAGAGACTATACTGCACCACCCATCACTCCCATTCTCACTGCGGCTGCAACTGCCACTGCGACCACTATCGCTCGCCACCGTGTCACTGTCACTGCCATGCTCGTAGTGGTGGATCTTCTGGTTGTTACTCCTTCCGCAGAGACTTGTTTGCTCTTGAGGGGCACATGCCTACTGATCCCAAGTGATCTCTAATACCCCGCGAGCTCCAAAGGCAAGGACAGCACGGATCTGGGGCGTCAGCATGTGCACTCGGGATGGCTTAGAGAGGAGCTTTGCCTGAGGTCTTCGATATATATACATTGAGTGAATATGCTTCAACTTTGGTGGTACCGGACCTGATGATGAAGATGAGGATGGTGACGATGACGATGCGATTGAGGTCGCGACCATGTGAGGACGATGCCAGTGTGGCTGACGATTTACATGCCGATGGTGATTATGCTGCTAATGATGCTGATGGTGCTGGAGATGGCAAGATTGCCGCATTCATGCATGCCATGGCACTGTCAGTTGTACAGCGCAGGTGTCTCGCGCCGCTCACGATTGGCCGGCCTCGGCGTGGCCAAGCCCTGGCAGCTTTGTCTTTGTGCAGTCTTGCGGGCCCCGCAAAGCAGTCCGCAAAGCAACGAGGGCCCGAGGATTGGGAAGACTACGCGTTCAAGTTCAAGTGTGGTTCGGCCTAGGAAGCTTCTCCGCAGTTGTAGGAATGTGTAGGGCCCTTTCCCTCTCTGTTCTCAGGCAGGTGGTTGGCGGAGAAGCTACTGGTGGAATCATAGCCTTTCGCCCAGCCTAAGGTTGGGGCGTCGCGTTTGAAGGAAGCTGTTTTGCGTCCATACTTGGCTTGGCTAAAGGCTCCACGCCGCAATTTGGGGGCTTGCTTGGAAGCTGGACTTATTCTGAACAGGTTGTAGCCGTTGGTTGTCGTGCCTTGTTTCTGGTTGGTATGCGGCTTGATGCGGCTGAGTCGGTTGATGCTCAGCAACAGCGGGAGAGGAGTGGGGCGCAGTGGATGTGGCTCGGCTAATGAATCTCATCAGCTCTCTGAGGTAAGAGCCGGACCGGATACGAATTCGATTCTCAGCAGCAGGCAGTTGCAGCCCGTATTCCTGGGATCCGAGCTCACGGGCTTTCTTTCCAATGTCATGATTGCCAGAAGCAAAGCGGGACCGGTGACTAGGCCCAAGCTCAACGATCGGCTTTCCACGGGGGCCCTTGTACAGGACCTGCCAGGGCTCCCTTGATGGAGACATGAGTGTGTACTTGGGGACGCCAAGTTGGAATCGCCTTGTCACAGTAGGAGCTGGAAGTCCGTGGCGATCGCCTGCATTATGCTCTGCAGGCCAATTGTCAAAGTGAGTGAGTGGGGGGGGGGGGGGGGGGGAAAACGTGGAGTATCAGCCTTCAAGACTTCGTCCTGGAGCGCAGCAACCGACAGGCCGGTCGCGGGCCCAGCACTGGCTGGGTCTCCATTCGCTTGGGGGAGAAGGAGACCTTGCAACACGTAAAGGGGGCGGGAAGAGCTAAAGCTTATCAGCTTATGCGATGTTTTGCTGCTTGTGGTGAGGACCTGCTGGTTCGGGCAGATGTCGATAACAAGGAGGCAGTCTGCGGCCCAATACCCGAATCCCACCCTAATACAAACTGAAGCAGGCGACTGTCCCTGCAAGGCACTAAAGTCACTAAAGTGACGGAAGGGTGGTGAGTTGATCCTTGCGAGACACGAACTCACACCCTACTGGAACTGACCGTGAACTTCATCCTGCGACTTGCAAGGCACAGGGGGCCAAACCCGGAGCCTCGCCGCCAGTGGTGCAGGCTGAGTGGGCTCGGGGCCCGTCCTTGTGCAGGTTTAGCTCTGTTTAGCTGCCCAGATCTGTCTAGCTTTGCTTCCAGGTTAGGGTGAGTTGTCGTCCGCCCTCGCGTCCAGTTCTTCGGGAGGAAGCTCGAGCCCTGCCGCTGCGGCCGGCAGCTTCACCACAGCTGCATGTACCCAGCAAGTCTTCAGAGGCCGCAGTCAGACACACATAAGTTTCCATCGACCATCCTGAATCACTTCGCTTTCGAGTGCATGGTGGGTAAGACCGGATAGGAGCAGGTGCAGCACTTCAGGCGGCAAGGCTGAACATTGCTACTTGTACCAAGCAATACATCGTGAGATTCATGTGCTGCTGTCATTTTGGGGCACGCCTTTACTACTAGACGGCGGCATTCATTCTCGGAACCTTTGAAGTACCCAGAACTGCTACACGAATCAGAATCTGCTTTCTACGCTACCTGAGTGATTTTTTGCGGTCAATTCGCATATTTCGCAGATGTGCAAAGCCGTTTCTCCGGAGCCTCTTCGCCTCTTGCAGCGGGTCGAGCTCATGTCTGGCAGGCCAATGATGCACCTTCCCGTCCTGCCAAAGAGACGCAGGCGGACCGTGTCGCAGATCGAAGATCGACAGAGTTGCTTCGTGTCATGAGGCAGAAGAGGAGGAGGATTCAGCTGCAACTTTCTGGCAGCTCGGAAAACTTGCAGCCAAAGAGGCCGAAATGGTCCCAACTGGCTTGAGCAGCTTGCTGTGCCCCGGTGCTCCGAGTTTGCGGTTCAGATCCGGAATCGAACCATCGTACACAGCTGAATCCTGCAGGATGCGGCGATGGAAAGGGACCTGCAGACGGCCGTGCAGTCGATGTGTGTGCCTGGCCGCTTCAGTGACTTGGTACCAACTTTCAGGAAAGGGAAGGAAGGGACAGGCAGACAGGATGGCATGCAAGGCGACATCTTGTACCGGAGTGAATTGTCGGTGCCGGAGATCTGCGATCAAGATGTTTTCGCGCTCTGTGCCAGAAGGTCACAAGTTGTGAAGCCTAGGTTATGGGGACCTGTCATCGCTTGGCCAGGCCAACCGCGATGTCTGGCTGTGAGTTGACTGGTTTCGAGGTTGCTAACCAGAGATAGAGATCGAGATGATTTGGGGTAGGGCTGTCCACGACAAATGTCGACTTCTCGGTGGGAAGGGAAGGATGATGCAAAGCTGGAAGTACAGACAAAGGAGAGTTGTTGCCCACAGGAAGGTCATGTCAACTGCACCGTTGGGTGTCCATGACATGATGGAGCATGAACGAGTTTCTCAGAAGTCTGACGAGTGGTTGGGCCTGCGTGTAGAAGCTTCGCCAGTTTGGGCACATGCAGCTTGGTGTGTTTTCGGCAGCCAGTGCTGTTTTGCCTCGTGGGTTTGTGTGGCACAACTCGAGCCACAAGCTTGGTCATGCTACCTTGTCAATGGTGCAGTTTGCTCGATCCGACGTTTGCGGCAAGCGTCCCAGCATCTGTCATCGCGAGCTCATCCAACATCCCATCGCAGCTTCGTGGGCAAAATCACAGGAGTTGCCAACTCTGCCTCCAGAGCCCGACAGCGATAAGGGGGAAGGAAAAGGGCAAGGCAGGCAAGGGGAAACGGCAAGGGAAATAAGGGTAGCAAGGTGAATGACACTTGCAGCGAGTAGTACTGGGACGGGTATTGAGAGATCGGTGCAGAGGGACGATGTGTCGACACGGGCTCAACCTCGCGAAATCAGGACTGTCCTGTCTGTCTGCGAGAGATGAGGGGTTACAGAGCGAAGACCGAACACAAGGGAAGACACAGAGACGTTGATGGTCCGGCTTTGTCGACTTCTGCGCCAGGCAATGGTAGCTGAGCG